GGGAAAAGCAAAATATTTTATCATTCACTTCTCCCCGGGGAAGTAGACCAGGTCTCTCTCTCTCTCTCTCTCTTGTTTTTATCATTCACTTCTCCCCGGGGAAGTAGACCAGGTCGTCCGGCTCGTGTACTCTACTACTGGATCAGAGTGGGGCTCGCCGCTCAGGACCGCGTCGCCGCCGAGACTGCCCCCCTTGGCCGCCCAGGCCAATAAGACGCGCGCTCAAGTTTTCAATAATAAAGTTTGTTCTCTCTTCTTGTCTGTCTGTCCCCTCCCGCCGTCCGCGCAGTACGGACGCGCCCCCATCCACTGGGCGTCGTCGCGGGGCTCGACCGAGATCATGGAGATGCTGATCGCCGCCAAGTGCGACATCGAGGCCAACGACAAGGTGAGTGGTGTTGTAGAGTGTTTCACCCCTCTCGCAGACTGTCGTGTGCAGCAGCAGGTTGTCACGGTGTCGGCTCTCCGTCTCTCTCTCTCTCTCTCTGTCCGCAGTACGGCATGCGGCCCCTGCTCATGGCCGCCTGGCACGGCCACAGCGACGCCGCAAAGATGCTCATCAACTGCGGGGCCAGCGTCAACGCCGTCAACAAGGTAACGACTGGGGCAATCAGCGCGCCCCGGCGACGGCCGCGAGCGAGCTGAATGACACAGCTCCGCGCCGTCCTCCTTCCTTCCTTCAGTCTCGCTATCGCTCTCTCTGTTTCTCTCTCTCTGTCTCTCTTTTCCTGTTTCTCCCTCTCGGGCGCCGGCGCCGCTATTCAGCGCTCACCACTACTTTGTGACGGGATTACTCGCGGGGATTTCCTCGTCAATGAGATGGGGAGGGGCGTGGAGGGCCGTACGGCGCACAGCACTATCGCCACTTTGGCGCCCCGCCCCGCCCCGCCCAAGCCTGCTGATGATGCTCTGCCCGCACTACTAATGACGATAACGACTCTGCCTTTGTTGGCGCGGCCCTCGCCCGACCCGGCGCGCCTGGCGCCCGACAGCCACCCGGGTCGGGTCTTGCGCCTGGGGGCGCATCGGGCCGATGCCGATCATAGCTGGGGTTGGCTCTGTCCTCGGCCAGGCCCCGAGGCAGCGACACCGGCCGCCCACCTCCTCCTCTCGCCCATACGAACGGAAGGTGGGACGAGGAAACATTGGCTGTGGCCTCTGTGTACCCGTGCTGATGGTGTTTTGTCCCTTTGGCCTGTGTACGCTGGACCGAGAAAACCGATAGAAAGCAGCCAATATGCATGCTGTGGCTGTACTTCCCCCCCTTTTGCCCTTTATCCGCTGAGCCGTGGTGCTGGTAGCCGCGCAGACGGACGGGTAGCACTCCGACCGAGCTTTCAGGAGAGGAAAAGGAAAAAGAGGAAAAGAAAAAATGAGGGAGAACATACAGCAGTCTTTGATGCTTTTCACCTCTCGTTAGTATCTGTTGAAAATGCGGTCGAACCAAAGCG